CCATCCCACTGTGCACCTTGACCGGTGAAGACGAAACACAGATTCACTCGCTGTTTGACTCGCGTAGGGGTAGACCAGGAGAGTTGCGAGAGCAGATTTGGCAAAGCAACGCAAGCAGTCTTCCATGGAAATGACGTTCGCTTCTCAGCCAAGGTGTACGCTACATCATTAAGAATCCGGTGATCATTCTCATCGTTCGCATGATTGCACAACCACTTTTCGAAAGTGGGGATAGATCGCTGGACGGCACGCTCGTCAAATGCGGATAGTACGAACAGCTTTGGGGCGGTTTCGTAGTCGTCCATGATATCAGGTGGCGTATCGTCTGCAAAGGATTGCGAATATGCGTTAGTACCCGTGCTATAGCTGCCGTCCTCACTATTGATCGCTAGGCCATCGTAGGTGGCTGGTTCAGCTGCTCCTTTGCTACCGTCAAGCACTTCAGTGCAATGTTGGCCGGACAAACCATGATCACGAAGAAAGCTCAGCGCATCGTCCAGAACAACGTGGGCGTTCGTGCCTCCATACCCGAATGAGTTCACACTCGCGCGTCGAATACCATCCGTCGGCCAGGTTGCCGGTACGAGCGGAAACTTCAAGTTGGGGCCAGCCGCCGCAACAGCCGGGCTGATGCGCTCAGGATATACATTCGGTGGAATGATGCCCTTCTCTAGAACAAGAAGCGTCTTAATCACACCCGCGATTCCACTAGCGCCTTCAGGATGACCCATGTTGCTTTTGAGGGCACCCACGAAGATCGGGTCTTCAGGCGTCCGACAAGAGAAAACGTTGCTAATAGCTGCAGCTTCGCAAGGATCTCCCACTGGAGTACCGGTGCCATGCGCCTCGAAATAGCGAGTATCACCAAGATCAAGGCCTGCCCGCGCATATGTCTCACGAATGAGTCGCTCTTGAGCAGATTGGCTGGGCGATGTGATGCTGGGAGTGTTCCCATCTTGTCCACAGCCAGTTGATCGCACGACACCCCTAATGGTGTCTCCATCTGCAATGGCTGTATCGAGTCGTTTGAGGATGAGTACACCAAAGCCCTCACCTCGAGCATAGCCCGATGCGCGCTCATCGAATGAATAACAGACACTGTCTTTGGACATCATATTGAGGCTACTCAAGAGTGCTGTCGAGTCTGGGAGTAGGCACAAGTTGTTACCGCAGACAAGTGACTATAGTCGTTAGTCATTCGAGGTATCGTGCAGGAGATAGAAAAATGACATACCATATCTACACTACCAGCTGAAAGCTCCTGACATGCTAGGTGAAAAGCGACGAGCCCACCTGAGCAAGCCGTATCAACCGTCATGCTTGGGCCGCTGAAGTCATAGAACCAACTTAGTCGGTTAGCCAACATAGCCAAGCCACTGGATCCGACGATACGGTAGTCACCAGGCATCTGAGAATCACGCTGAGAGATCTGGCTATACTCTTGGAGTAAACAGCCAACGTGAACTGAAGTCCTGGTGCCCATGGCTGCTTTCATAGGAATACCAGCTAAAAGCAAAGATCAGCCCTAGTTATAACAGCAAGCAGGGAGTAACGCACCGTTCTCGAGAGCATGATAGCTCGTCTCCAACAAGAGGCGTTGTTGAGGGTCCATACACTCCGCTTCCGCGGGCTGGACGGAGAAGAAAGGGGCGTCGAAGCGGGCGGGATCATCCGCGAGAAAGTGGCCACCTCGGTTCTTTACGGTACCAGGTCGATGGCCATGCTCTTTGTAGAAACCCTCAATGTTCCATCGATTCTGAGGAATCTCAGTCATGGTAGATCGACGCTCCATCAATAGCTTCCACAAGCTCTCAGCGTTTGTGATATCTTGGGGAAACTTGAAGCCAAAGCCCACTATTGCAATAGGCACTAAGCCGTTGGGACTTGAGGCCGGCATGAAAGTTCCTTCCGGATCAACGAAGTCGTTCATACTGAGAAGGTGTTATTGGTCTGGATAGTGGATAGTGATAAGTATGTCAATCAAAGTCAAGTTACGAGGTTTCGTAAGTGCCTTATTACTCAGGAATAACAGGATCGGTTGTGGAATTGATATGCAACAGCGTGTTGGGGAACTTGGGATGGTTGTTATAAGGGCGGGCGAGCGATTACTGAGCATTTTTACACACAACATGTGGAATCGGTCGTGATTGAGGCAATTGTACGATGTTACGTACTGATCTGATGATCAGAGACTCCCAGCTCCACGCCATGCAGACTCAATGCAAGCGCAAACGCCTCATGAGTCGGAGTAGGGGGTAAATTCGGAAGGTCATTTCTTGCTCAGTGGCAAGTTTGTCCAACTTCGTAAGGGGCATACTAGGTCACGCATGAGGGCGGCCCTTCTCCACTCCAAATATCCCAAACCACCGGCACCGTGAGAAGAGCCACTGTTGCAAACAGTAGTGATTCGATAGTTAGCACTCTGGAGACTAAACACTTGGGAGTCTAGAGAAGAAGACCCACGCGGTAGTCTACCGTATATGGCTAGCCTGGTGTAGACGGCGTCTTACCCGCATCCAGGCTTACTCCTTTGCTTGACCCCAAGCTTGTGCGGATAGTAATGTCTCAAAAACTTGGGTCTAGATGTTCAGGAATAGCGACAAGACATTGTCAGCCATGAAAATTGCCCATCCATCTGTCGGTGTCAAATCATATTCGTAACATGAAAGGAGAAATCGCAAACCATCTGAGGGTAATCGACAGCTGAAAGGGAACGACAAGCCAATAGTCACAGGGCCCTGTTCCTGAAGTCATGCAGTCTGGCGCCCGCCGTGGTCGGCGTGGGATATTCGAGGTAGGACTTTACGACTTGGCGCACTCGCTAGCGCCACCAATTGCGATGATAGGTCGCTCGGTCATCGAAATCCTGCGTTGTCTAGTAGAAAACATCGCCCGTGTTCCACAATCATATCACCGCGCGCATAGAGTGCACACCGAACTATGCAGAGTGACACGGTGTCTAGTCACTCGAGCTTCTTAGTTTGCATATCGCCCGCCCACTCAGCCGGCTCGCATACGCCAGCACGATCTCGCCCTAAACCCTTCGTATGTTCGATGCCGGGCGTCTCGTATCAGACATCTTGGCTGCGGTACGCCTGGCTCGGCCGGTGAAGCTCCGGACTGCCGCATTTTGTCAGCTTACATATGACTTGAGAGTGCCCCGGACCGTCCACGTGATTTGTCCAGTCGCTGTAAGCACTCCTGAGTGATGTTTCGAACGTGACCTGGTATGCATTGTAGCTTATCAAGTTCTCATTGCGAATTCAAAGCTCACAGAATGCTCATAACAAAGAGGCGTTACATAGTACCGTGCTGGGATCTGGAAACGCAAGTCCGAGCATGTGCATAGCCTGAGCCTTTAGCATATCCCAAACCACGACTATCCACATCATCATTGTATATGTCGAGTTGGTATCTTGGCGTGTATAAGACGCTCCGGCTCAGGCATACATCGGATTGGGTTCCTGCGTTGGACGGTGCTCGCAATGTGTTTTTAACCCCACCCTCGAAGGGTAGAGTTTTTTTTAGCCGCTTGTAAGCACACAATTGTTATTGGATAGCGACTGATCGTGGTCAAAATCGAGAAGGATCTTACAGTCGAAACTTCGAGTCTTGCGATTGCATAGATCGATCACATACGAGCTACCCTTATTCCTCGGTTGTTAAAATACTTTGAATACTTGCACCTGCTTGCATTCCCATATATCGATGGTTGAGTTATGGGAGCTACCGCGGCTTTTAACGAGGTGGCCTCGAGAATAGGTGACTTGATAGGAGGTCGTCGTCCTCTAGCTTTGAGTCAAGGATGTAAACGTGATTGGAACTGGTTGGTAGAATCCCGGTTCGTACACCTTCATCAATCCGACGACTGGTTGGAGAATTCGGTCACCAAAGTGAAGAATCCTTTAATAGTTTCGTAATAGTTTCGTCGTAAAATATTGGAGTCGGGTGTGCAACTCGTGAGTCAAGGTTCTTTGTTGTGTTTATAGCGATGGCAAGGGCGGATCAAACACGCCAGCTAAACAGCGTCATCAGACATACTCTTTATTCTTGCATCTATCACGAGGGCGACGTATCGGTTGCTGCATACCGCGAGTCGTTTGACCCCAGGCCAATTTGGCTAGATGTAGAGAACCATGGTAATGTGTAAGCGCGCATGTGAGGGAGTGGCGCAGTACTAGCGAATATGCGGAACAGACAGCCTATGCCATAAGTTTTGACCAACGCGTGCTCATCGCATCTTCATTGTTCTGTCCGCTCAGACTGCCAAAGACAGTGGGTTCTCAGAGATACAACTACCGATATGGCCAGAGCACTATTGTTTCGAACCATCAGGTATTTGGCAGTCAAAGATGAGCGTAGAGTGTTTTTTCTTCTTCAGCTTGAAGGCGTGTCCAAGCGCCCGTCAGCCTTATGTTGTGCATGGCTGGGTGAAAGGGCAGGTTGCGCGCAGCCAGGAACCCGCTGAGCCACCACGTGTCGTTTCAGCCATCAGCATGTCAGACTCTTCGTCTCCCCTCTCGCGGAAAGTACAGATGCGCAGGGTTGCAAGAGCCGCATATGCAAGGGTCATAGTTGCGCGGAGACGATGAAGGTCATTGCATACCAATTCGCGGCCTGGGGGAGCCTTTCAGAAGTTGCACAACCGGACACCTCATTCTCTTGCACTCTGGCAAACTCGTCTCTTATCCCTCGAAAGATTGATAGTGTATGGCCACGTTCAGAGCCTGCAGCGTAGGGTAGAAGTCGCATAACGTTGATGTCATGCAACAGCCGTGCCTCTTCACTGCGCCAAGTGAGTCAGCATGCCGAGCTATCGTTTCATGCCACTGCAGGTCGGAGGACCTATGGCCGGGTTCTCGGATTACCATGTATGGTGGTTGGTGTCGATGGTGTAGGGGCGTGGGTGAGGACGACGCGTCCTGGGATTCCGAGGTTGCTCGGAATGGAATTAGATCCGACAACGCGGGACAGCCGCGGGGCAGCGCAGCGCAGCAGCAGCACACGGCGGCGGCGGCTTGCTAGTTCACGGCCACCTCCGAAGCTTCCTGACGGCCTGAACACGACGGCAGAATAACAGTCATTCTTGCGCAATCGACATTTGGGAGCTTTACAAGCCATCGCGTACTGACCCTCCCAACTTCACCCGAACATGACTGTGCGCACCGCAGAAGGGCTCACGCCCGAACAACTAACCTTTTTCAACGAGAATGGTTATCTACTGATACCTGATGCGCTGTCGCAAGACACGGTCAAGCAGTTGCTGGAAGACACAAACAATATGCTAAACGACTTTTCACTCGATGACCATCCCATGACCAAGTTCTCGACTGGCGGCGACGACGGCGCGGACCACGTTGGAGACAGCTACTTCCTGGAGTCCGGTGACAAGGTACGGTTCTTCTTCGAAGAGGGTATGTAAGGCAATCCGCAGCCATGGCAAGTGTGCTGACACGCGAACAGATGCCTTCGACAAGTCTGGCTCACTGACCAAACCTAAACACCGCGCCATTAACAAGATCGGCCACTACCTCCACGAGCTCTCGCCTTCGTTCCGCAGCATGTCCCTTTCCGCCCGCAATGCCGCCATTGCGTCCTCGCTCGGGTTCCGCGATCCCCGTGTTTTGCAATCTATGGTTATCTGCAAGCAGCCTGAGATAGGCGGTGCAGTGCCGCCACACCAAGATAGTACCTTTTTGTATACGGACCCGCCGAGCGCAGTTGGCTGGTGGTATGCACTCGAGGATGCGACACAGGAGAACGGGTGCCTAAGCTTCGCTGCTGGGAGTCATAAACGTGCTGCTATTGACAAGAGATTCGTCAGGACGGGCAATGGTACTGGCTTCATTGACAATGAGGGTGCCAAGTTTCCAAAGAGTATAAAGCACCAGACAAACGCTGAGAAGGAGTACGAGATGGTCGAGAAGGAGGAGAGGTACGACATGGGTGAGGTCAAGGCTGGCACTCTTGTCCTTATCCATGGCAACATCCTGCACAAGAGCGAGAAGAACACCAGCAACAAAAGCCGGAATATTTACACGTTCCATGTGATTGAGGGCGAGGAGAGGTATGACGAGAGGAATTGGCTGCAACCGCCTGAGCAAGGATTCTCAAGGCTATTTCAGGAAAAGGCCGCGACGGACGCAGAAAACAGACTTGCGAAGGACTGGTAGCTGGTCTGTAGCAATATTGATAGACATTTCACGATTTGCTCTGGACGCACAACGCGATACCACCAAGTACAAAGGCCATGCCAATCCATGTGTCTTTGCATTGTTAGTTTTCGTCCCGTGGCAGAGCAGAGAGACAACGTACCTCTGCTAATGACCTTCTTCTCTGCCCACCACTCCCCTAGTACGGTGAACAGAAAGGCGAGCGAGTTCGTGATTGGCACCGTGAGGCTCAACTCCGCCTTACCAATCAATATAAAGAACCATACACTGCCAGTGACGTTCAATAAGAGCGGCACCGCATACGCTGGTCGGCTCAGGACACCTATAACTGCATATAGTACTCCGAGGACCTTTTTCTTAAGCCATGAGTTGTTCGGGTCAGTAAGGGCAGGACGCTGCGGCGGAGTGTAGTTCCTGGTATATGCGTATCAGCTTGCTGGTCAGGCAATGTACTAGGCTTGCGAGAGAAGGAAGGACTAGCAGAAAGTAATAAACACCCAAGCTTACATAGCAGCTTTTCGCATGAACGGCGTCGTGAGTCCCCAGCACGCGCCAACCATAAGGAAGCCTATGATCCAGCGGAAGACGGAAGGTTGAGGCTCATTGGCCACAGGCGCGTCGGGATCCATTGTTCGATGGCAAGTGAACTATTGACAGAAATATCGTGTTAAGATGGTGACGCTCAAGCCGTAGATGCTATCGTCGTCGCGTTGGTGCAGTCGTCATGCCCTGAGACCTGCGAACGGCAGATCCACAACAGTCTCGACGACACGCTAAACTAGCCGTGCACAAGCCTCAACACCACACCTGGGCAACTGCTGGGTATCGTGAACGCATCCTCATACCATCACCACCACCATCATCATCGCCACCAGATGTTTTTGCTGCCTCTCATAGCTCCTCGGTAACTTCCTGAAAGTGACATGAGATATCCATCGGTCACATGCCATAGGGCTAATCGAACTACATGAGACAGAAGACAATGCCGTCACGACCTAGTGAGGACAAAAGCGAGGCCCAACAGCGTCACGGCGCTTTGGTTTCTGCTGTTGTGCACCCTTCATGATGGACGATCAACTCACCCCCGGGCCCTAGCAAATTTGAAACCTCGCCGTCAAGGTCGATGCGCATGTTTGGTTCTCTTTCGCTCCTAGTATGTGCAACGCGCATCAAACTGTCCTTGACTCACGCCTTGCACGAAAATACCTAACCCAGTTACCCAGGTATCCTTCGTCTACGCTCCTGTACTCTTAACTAGTCACGTCCTGTGACTCCACTACCGTTCTCTGTCACTTCCGATTCTCATTCACATCACCTAAGTGTCAGTCTGCGTCTTACAGACTCTCAGCGTTGATGGGCATTGCTAACTAAGAACTATTTGCAACATGCGTGAATTCCGAGTTCCAGACCCTCGGTAGTTGAGGTGTTGGGACTGTCTCATTGGTATGAAGATGTCGTAACTCACGGGACTCGATCAACAGCCTTACCTTTACAACTCATGCAGCTGCACAGGCACTTCAAACGTTGGTTCTGAAACCACCGTTCGTGCGGCCTCTTTACCTCACCGGTCAGGTCAAGCTTCGGCATACACAAAGAGATGGACTAACAAAGAATCTCATCTACAAATCGATTGTCGTGTAACGGGTACCTGCGGTATGGACGACGCCTCCAAAGAAAATACCCCAACGTCCGGTATATGGCTGCATGAGCACGCACCTCCTGTCGTCACTAAATATCCAAATGCCCCGGTCGCAAGTTCGTAATGTTCGGGACCTAAATGGTGCCGACGCCTCAAAAGTACTTGAAACGAAAGGGTTGGGGCTTGGTCATGCCCCATTCCAACCCTGGATCAGCCCGATTCGACTTAGTACGCTAAGTATAGCTGGAATGTACACCGAGTAGGAGATGGCGGGCAAGGTGCTTTGCCATATTTGGGTGCAGAATTGAATGTCTCTAGTCTGGTTTGTTCACCACGTTTGTTATGAGGCATCATTGGCACGTTACAGAAATTGCTCCCGTGGGCTTGCAACCACTAAAGCACATTTACCAGTAAGGTACAAGTACCGTGTTACTCTCATCGCCTGTTCTACTACCAACTGCGACGATCCTCGCTTACCTACCTAGCCACTTCCTGAACACAACACGCAGGCACGTGAGAGGTTTACTTCAGAGTATCGTTATCCACCAACACCCTACCGGAATTATGCCAATGCGGCCCACCAGCGATAAAGAGGTTGACGTGGTCGATCTAGACCGTCTCTTCGAAGAGTATGTTCAAACAGACTTGCTCAATCACTTCGGCGACTGCAACCCCAAACAATCAAGCTCGGGTGAACCAAAGCATCTTTTTGACTCAGTTCTGTCGAATGAGAGCCAGCTTTTTGGCTCTGAGCCTATACTTGATCGGGAAACGCAGGCTGCTTGGCACAAGGCTCTCGAAAAGTACGAACAAAACCCAACCCCGTTGCGAGCTGAGGACTCTATCTCATCTTCTTACGTTACTTCGTCTACTGGTAATGAGTCTTTCAGCGATTCTGAGTTGCTAAACCTTGACGACTTCTTTGAACTAGAAAGGAAGCAATCGAGGTCCATCTCTCAGCCTCCTACAACTCGACCCCACACTTCCGGACGATCTGTTAAAAAGGCTGTATCGATCTACAATCAACTGAGGCACCGTGGTATCTCAAAGACCTCTAAAAGGTTGCATGCTTCGACTTTCACAAAGATGATGCAATCCTCTCAACACCAACCTTCAGCTGGCAATACGTGGACCCGCAAGACGGACAGTCCAACGAATTCATTCACAAGAGCCTCATCGCATGGCATTGCTTCGCCCCCGCTATCAACCAAGGCCAAAAGCAATGAGTTTTTCGTTCAAGGGCATTATCAGACCTATGCCGATAACTATTCTAACCTACCAAACAACGGATCTGGCTTCCTTAATTACCAATTGACGCCTTGCGCATCGCCAGCAATTGGAACCCCTAGCATCAGTGGTAGCGGCTTCGATAATGATACGGGGCTCACCTCTAGCTCTTCCAGTGCGCCAAGTGCGGCTCTCTCAGCCTTGCAGACCCCGCCCTCTTCTCTCCAATTATCTATGACAACGTGGGGCCCTAACACATCATCAGCTCTGGATGTTGGCTTCTCAGCCTCGTGTGATTCTACCGACGGCACACAAACTACAGACTGGTGGGATGGGAACGTTTCCACCAGTCACCCTCTCCATTCGACCAGCTTCAGCCAAAGCAACTCACTATCCACAAGCCAGAACATGAGATCGGAAGGATTGGGAATATCTTGCGGATCGGCTCCGTACGGCTTTGGCACTATGCACGATGGTTTTTCTGCCTCCAGAACCTCGGCTGCATTTGACATGGTTAACTATGGTGTCATGTACAATACGCCGTCTCACCAACAGCAACATCATCACGCGCAACACCACGTCGCCCCTATCAGTCAGTCAGTCTCGCGCTCTCCTTCGCCACGCGCCGAAACACGCTTTCACCGGTCGTCGCACGCATCTAGCCACCGCACCAGCCAGTCGTCAATGAGACGCAAATCCAGCAACACTTCCCAGCAATCCTCGAGGCAGATGAGCACAAGTAATGGTGGAGTTGGTTTCGTGAACTTCACGCCAGATGACAGCCGTAAGATTCTCACAGGCGTGGCACCCAGCGGATCCAGCAAAACTAAAGCACGGCGGGAGAAAGAAGCCGCCGACAAGCGACGGAAGCTTAGCCGCGCGGCGGTGAAGGCTGTAATAGAAGCTGGTGGTGATATCGATAGCTTGAGAAGATTGGAAAGGGAGGGCGTGCTGGTTATGGAAGGTTAACGAGGCGATTTTACAGACTCTCGGTATTTGTTTGTTTAAGGATTTCTTCTTTCGCTTCCAGTATATGGGGCCATTGTTTTACATATACGATTATGACACGTCACGCACTTGTGGCGCGATGATAAATGCATGAATGACTACCTTTGAATTGCTGGTTGCCGTGCGTGACTGGTGTGCACTTCGCTATGTGAGTAGCTGCTAGCTACTTGTTGCAGCGCGATGGTCTGAGCTGCCACCCGCTGGCGACCCGTCGGATGCGAGATGCGGAGTCGTATGGTCTCGCTGCTTGAGAAAGCAGCATGACATGCTGTTTCAACCTTTACTGCTCGATATATGGATGCCTCGCCCTCGCCCTCATCTTCAGCCGGCGGCCTCAACCTCCAATCGTCCGAGCACAGCTTCTACAACGCCCTTGGCACCAATTCCCCTCTCCACACCACCAAGGCTCTGCTCCTCAGCTTCAAGCTCGACTGCGCCCTCGTAAACCTTGACAATTGTATCCTCATCCACTTTGGCGCCACATGCTACCAACCCCCTGATCAAGGTACTGACCCTAGTTATCTCCCGCATGACTGGCGGTTCGATGTCGTCGTTTTGGCTCGAATACAGTGTCTCAGTCACACTCTCGTCCAGTCGGTTGATGCCCATCTCCTTTGGGTCAGCATTTGTTGTGATGTGCTTGCTGATGAAAATGTAACCGTTTACGCCAAGTACAATGTCGATCTCGCCGGCCGCCGTGTTCAGCGTAAAGACCTGCCGTCTGCTCCTCACAACGCCACCCTTGCGACTCAATATGCCACCTCCAGCGCCACTCAGACTGGTGAACAGACCGTTGCGCAGTTTCCCGTATTTGAGCGATCGCGTGTGGAGGGAGGCGGTGCCGTCCTGGTGCAGACTCTGTACCTCGGCGACGAGCAGATCGCCTTCTTGGAAGAAGGTCCGGATATTCAGTTCATCTACGGTTGTTCTTCGTCGCAACACTCCACCGGGCAGATTTATACTAGACAAAGGCAGGTTTGCGTGCATTGGTGCTGCGATGTCCACATTCCACTTCTTTGTTCCCACTGTCACTATGCGTCCTACGACCAGGTCGCCAATTTCTGGTTGATATCGGGCGCGCAGCGGTTGTACCGAGAGCAGCTTGTTTGTTTTGTGCAGGGTACCGGCGACGGTGGATATTATCGTCGTGGAAGACGGAGGCATGGATGGAACGTAGGTGCCGTGGCCGCGCATCCATTGCGGGTCCGAGGTTATGGCTTCACCGGGTGTCACTATCGCCTTTGAGTCGGAAGTCACGAGGTCGTCGTCCTCCATGTCCACGTCCGAGTCGTCCGAGTCGTCTCTTGCATCGCGCCGTGGTGGGAGCGGTGCGCTAGGTGGGAGGATAGAGATTGGCATGGCCGAGGATGCGCCGTGTACAGTTGGTCGAATCGCAAGAGTCTGGTGGGTTTGGCCTGTTCGCGCTTCTACCGGTGTGGTATCGTGGGCGTACTGGTCGTGTCGTTGGCTACCGCTCAGAGCTTCGGAAATTTTGGCGGGGATGGGAGCTGCCCGGCCATCCCTGCAGAGCTTTCTGGATGCGGGCTAGTCTCGACGCGTCTACTCATGGCGGTCGCGTCCGACGTCATCCCATCAATAGCACCGACATCTTTGCAGAGAGTAACAGAGTGAAGCTCCATGGCGCCTGTATCATCGTCCCCTGCTGTGTCCAGCTTCAACGAGCCCTTTATCTCGGCCCTCGATGTCGCTGCGCCTAACAACGCCAATGATGATCCGAACTACTATGCTCGTTATCCGCGCTCACTGATCACGACCTCTCATCTAGACGCCTTCATGACAGGCACCGGTTCCACCATCTACAAATCTTTAGTACCCCTGCTTGAGTCTGCCTCCCATGAGCTCATTCTCGTCACCTGCTTCTGGGCCAGGTCCAAGACCCTCGACACACTCAATCAGGTTCTGAGAAACCTGTCTGAAAAGGCCATCCGGAGAGGGACAGACAAGATCAGGGTTCGACTATGCTTTTCTTCCAGCTCCGTCTTCCAGAAATTATTCCACAAGCAAGCTACTACAGGCCAGACGTATTCACCGTCAGCATGGATCAAGAAGCTGGGCTTACCTGACCCATCTGAATTGAACGGACTGGACCTTACCATCAAGTCTATCTTCATTTTACCATTCTCAGTCATGCATCCAAAATTCATCCTCATCGACCGGAAAACCGCAGTGTTACCGAGTTGCAATATCAGTTGGGAAGAATGGTTCGAGGGTGCTGTCACCCTCACAGGACCTGTTGTCGAACAGTTTCTCAAGTTTTATCGCACTTTTTGGGAGCGGCGAGAGGATGCTCCAACCACTCTCGATGCTCCTGAAGGTGTCGCAGTCAAGCTCCACGATGCATTGACATCTTCGCAATTATTGTCGGCTCGGGATATACACACCATTTTCCTTCCAAGCCCGCACCATCGTAATCCACGCTTTAGCTTCACCGGAGCTCAGGATGCCCTTCAAGCCCCGCCGACTCCCTTGAATGTTTTCATACTCACGATTTTCGCAAAGGCCGAAAGAAGCATTCGTATACAGACACCAAACGTGACTGCACCACCCGTCCTATCCGCAATACTTCGAGCGCTTGCCCGTGGTATTGACGTCCGGATCTTGACCTCTGAACGTCTCATGATACTCGAGCAATTAGTTACAGCAGGTACTACAACCTCACGTTGCATCAAGAAGCTCATCAAACGCTATCAGCAGCTGAGTCACAACGGTGGTAACCCAAACGACGAAGAGATGGCTATAGCGACTCCCAAGCCTGGTCACCTACATGTAGCGTACTTCGAGCCGATCGGCGGGCCTAAAAAGAGGGGTAATGAGGTGGGGGAGCCTCAACAGTCGCATCTCAAGATGACCATAGTGGACGACGAGGTGCTTGTTCTGGGCTCTGGGAACTTTGATCGGGCGAGTTGGTTCACGAGTCAAGAGTTGGGTGTTGCTTTCTTCGACAAGGAAGTGGTCAAGAAGGTTGAGAGTGCAGTTGATCAAGGTACACAAGGGAGAAGTAAAGTAGTGTTTGACAGTGAGCGCTAATTTGGATCGCGTAAGACGGTCTATGTCTAGCAAGTTGTATTGAGAAATATAGCGGTGACCCTCATACACATTCCTTTGCACTTGTTTTCCGGGTGTTGTTGTACTCAAGAGCGACATCTAGTCGACAACAACGATAATCCATTGTGGACGATGCCGCCCAAATTCGACTGTTTCAAGTGGGGATTGCATGTGACCGATGCTGGAACTGTCTTTGTTCTCATATGGTCCAGTCGTCACAAGACTCTTACCTGTAGTTAAAGGGATTTGTCTGCTGATCCGCCAGTTGAACACACTTCCAAACAACTCTTAATAAAACATCATAGGGTGAACCGGTTCATGCAATGATACGGTTACTGACGAATATGCTCAACACGTTGACCTTACAGGACACAAAGTGTTGAGCATGGATTGTATTGCGCTCAGCCTTTGCGGCCGGAGCATGTAACCGACAGCAGGAAGCTCACTAGCATCTCAGCCAGTCGACGAGCGGAGTAGGGTGTCTGTCTTTACGGAAGAATATGTACAAGCTGCGTGATATCTACGCTCATCGCCTAATCACTGCCCAAACGCCTCAACGCCAGACAAGCGCCAGACCTATAAGCAAATGATAGTGCGCATGCCATGTCCCCATGTGGCGAATAGTGTGGAGTATATCGATAAAAGGTAGATGTCGGTATAGTCCAATCATCTCTTGGGAAAAATAAATAGAGCGGTGAAGTAAAGGCGCGAAAACATCAAAAAGTCCATGTGATCCACATCAGCACTTGACGGATCGTCCCAATTGCATACCAGAACCATGCAGATCGAGAACCTGAGGGTATGCCAACGTAATCCAATCAGACCCAAAACAATTCCCAGCCCAGCTGCGCATAACCAAAGGCGCTGCCATAATCTAATGTTGAATGTTGTATGTATTAGTCGTGTTTCGTAGGGCTTTGTGCCAGTCGGCAGCCCTGTTCAGCAGCGCGATGCTGTGGGGTAAGAGGGTCTACATGGAGCCCATGGCAATGAGTGCCTCGATAGCGTCGCGCTCAGCGCCAGATCCGGCTACACCAGCCGATGCATTGAAAACGGAAGAAGTCAAAGGAGAGCCCGCGTTCACGACGTGATTACCGTGGGATGCATGAGGAACAGTAAGGAAAGGTTTGTACGTGGGCGTCGCAGTGCGTCCGTGATGAGGCTGAGGCAGAGAGTGGGCCTGGGCGGATATGCTCCGATAGCGCGGGTTGCTCGTCTGTGTTCGGCTTAGATAGTTGTAATCGCGGTGTTCTCGGCGCGGACCGCGGCGGGTCTCGCGAAGAGCTTCAGGCCCCATGGTCGCCCAGTCTTCTTGATCAGTGTCGTCATTTAATTCTTCTTCCAAATCCATGTCCGAAGCCGAGTCGGACTCGGTACTGCCTTCGGAGTCGTCTAGCGACATCTGATCAGCCATCTCTTCGTCTTCGCCCTGGCGGTGCGGCGACCACGAGCCAGCGTTCCAGCTGCCAGAGTAGACGTCGCGTTCTTGTCGCAACTTTGGAATCTGGAGGCTGCCTCCGATGCTATCAACACTATCTGGTGGTGTACGCCCATTTCCAGGGCGCTTACCGCCAATGGGCATGCCCGCAGCCTGGGAGCCGGAGCCAGCTACACTCCAACGCCCCCAGCCGACTTTCTCGAACTTGACCTCGCCGTGCAGGCCGCCACCGGCGCGATGTTCCAGCGCTGCAACGACCAGCCTACGGGCCTTCGCAGGGGGTAGTCCAGAGAAGCCAGGTACCGCATGCGTCAGATGCGCCATCATCTCGCGGATGGGCATTGCGCCGTGGCCCTCGATAATGTCTGGCAGATGGTGCTTGGCCAGCATGAGGGCCGTAATCTGGCGCGTCGCATCCAACCCAGCCAGCGCCTCCTTGGAGAGAGCAGAGGGCTGGTCCTGCGCTGCCGCGTGTTCTACCGCATCCTGGAGGTCTATATCCATAGACTCCTCTTCTGGTGTGTGAAGACGGCCGGCTACGGGCACGGGGCGTCGCTTGTGCGCAGGAAGGGTCGGAGAGATGGAACTGGGCGGAGTAGGGAGAGTGCCAGTCGAAGCAGCGTGGCCACTGTCCTGGCGCCCAAAGGCCATGGCGATGTTGGACATGGGCTTCTGGGCGGAAGCAGCCATGTTTACTGGTATGAGGCAGGGGCTGACGAATGAGTCAAAGCGCGGGTTGACAGGGCAGTCGCAGTAGGTGGATAGGAGGCCTGGAGGGTGGTTTCGTCAGTGGCGGCGGACTTGGAATGCTGTGGTTTATCCAGGACGAAGTTGCAGCGTGAGGCGACTTGGTCTGGCGGCAAACGTACCTGAGTGTCTTGGGGTTGAACTGTCGGGTATCGACGGTAGGGCGTATGGTGTGCAGCAGGAATTTGGGTGCAAAATTAAAGACAGCGACCGAACTGCCTTGTGCGACAAGCGAAGTGCAGTTATGGGGCAGATATGCGCTGGCGTTGGGTTGTTATAGCAAGCTGCAGCAACGTAGCTTGTGCCTTCACCGTTCCGAGACGTCTGGCGATCGGCGATGTGATCAGCGAGTCGGTAACGGGAGGATGCAGGTAGCGTGTCGGGGCAGCAGAGGCGAGATGTGGTTGAGGCGAACAGGAGCAGGCAAGGTGCAGTGCGGAAGTCAGAAGAGGCTCAATATTGGATTGTGGGCTATGTTGTGAGTCTATGAATCAACGAGGCAGGCCCTCTATGATAAGGCCTCCTTGGTTCCGAAGGCAGCTGGAACCAAGGCAAGGCACATGCACGCGCATCTGACAACCCCCAGCTCCGACTCGTGCCCCTGCCATTGGCGCACGGACAGCCACACCTCCCACAAGCGTCATGGAATTTCGCCTCTCACTGCAGCAGGGACTCGAAGCTTAGAAGCAGGGCAACATTAGAGTTGCACCACGCCCACCGCCCCGATTCCCTATCGTGAGGCTGCCTGCACTGCCAGAGGTGCCTGCTGCCACCTCGACAGTGCCATGCTGCTTGCTCGAGCCCGCACGCCGCCATCGCCATGGTGCCTTCCGTTTGCAGCCGATGCCCCATATCAGCATCTTGTCTATCGGCTCCTCATGTTGGCCATCCGTCTCTCCATGCCTCGCACCCCCAACAGCCATTGGCGCCATCATTATCGCGCTGCGGGGTCCATCCCACCACCATAAGGTCCGATTTCGCTAGCAGCGCAACCACCCTCTGCCACACGTGTTTCTCCGACAGGCCGCACACTGCAAGACATCCCGTCGCAACACATCGCCAAACCTTATAGAATGCCTGGTGCCGATATGCCGGACGTCTTGACCGTCAGACGGATGACGTGGGCTGCACCACCCAGTGCGCCGGCGTGGGAAATGCCTCAACCGTGATTTGCGTTAACCACATACTTCGTGATCGCCTGGTGGGTCGACATAGCATTAGCGATGCGACTACACACACACAAAAGTTCGACCCAAAATACAACATACCGACTTGAGCACATTGATCTGCTGCACCGTGCGAGTGAAAACGGCCCGGTACTGCTCTAGGTTCTGCTGCACCACTTCGTTGCGCGTAGTGCGGCCTTCGCAAATGGCCTTCATCTGAACTTCCATCTGCCCACAGTGTTAGTGATCATGTCGGGTCATCAATGCCCAACAAACCCCACGAGCACCACTTACTTCTTTCCGGAGGAACGGCTTGCTGAGGCTCGTCTCAAACCCCACGTTGTCGTATCCTTCAATAAGCGCGATACCCAAAGTCGTCGGGATAAACTCTTGTACTCCACCCGTGCCTCCTCCGCTGTTCTGACTTACTGCTGCGCCGCCTCGCCCACCACGTCCCCCTCTTGCACCTCCTCTTCCTCTTCCGCGCCCTCTGCCTGCACCTGCCCCATTGGCGCCCGCCGCACCGCCACCCGCTTTAAGTCTTGCCATGACGTATTCGCGTTCCTTGATCTTGGCAATATGCTCGGCCATAGTTGCATCTGTGCCGATGCCATTTGCGTCCATGAGAGCGATGAGCTCGGGCTCAGTGAGATAGCTGGGTGCCGTCGTCTGTCCGTCCAGCATGTTTGCTTCCGTGAGCTCCAAAGTCTCGCCTATTGTGTACTGCGGCAGCACTTGACTGCTCTCCCACTTGTCGTATGGATAGACGTCAAGGTAGTTCCTTGCAATGACGGTAAGACCATGTGCGTGAAAGACCTCGCTTCCATATTCAATCTCGATATCTGTGGATTCACCAATAGCATCTTCGGAGCAGCATGCGAGGAAGCGGCGAACAACAAACTCGTAGACGGTGCGCTCTCTGTCGTTGAGCTGGGATGAGGCGACATAGTTGACAGGATGGATGGGCGGATGTGCTTTGTCATTGTTGCGGCCCTGGCGAGGTTGGTGAAAAGCACCGTTCATGAGACTCTGTGCGAATGGACCCCAGCGCCCATCTTGCGTCTGCCTTCCGACAAGCGCTCGCAGGTCCATACCAGCGTCAAACTGGTCAGTTTCGGTGCGTGGATAGCTGATCCAGCCTTTCGTATACAAGTCTTCGGCCACTTTCATGACGTCTTGAGAGGTCATACGAAGGAACCTACTTCCCATCTTCTGTAGCTCCACTGTCGTCAGAGGTAACGGTTTCCATTTTCTGGTGGGCTTTTTTGCCATCTTGATGACTTTCGCCGTCTTTGAAAGCAGACATCGCTCGAAGATAAGGGTTACTGCCATGCGATCGAAAAGATGGCCTCGCCGCCAGTTGAACTTGGCATCGATTCCGTCCTTTGTGTGCGCAAGTTTGATGTACCAAAATGGCTCTGGAACGAAGTTGCGTACACGCAGATATCGGTCGACGACGAAACCTAACGTAGGGAACTGACAAGATCCGTAGCTGATCAACTTGCCTCGCTCGTCGCCCTGTTGAGGGATCATGTTTTGTAGCGCCAGTGTCTGCATGCGTGTAAAAGCTGCACCGAGACGCAGGTCTAGCTCGATTCGCGCTGAGACAGCTTGCGCCTGCGCTTCATCTAGGCGAATAGGATTCTGAGAGGCATGTATGACATGTCTGGGGAAGGTTAGTTTACATGACTTTTCCATGGTGCAATGATACAGACGCTCTCTCGATATTGCTGAAGCGCGCTCTCCAAACCTGCATATTGGGATTCGCTCTCAATGCGATATCCCGAATCTCGGTTCCGATATGCTCGCCTTCGCGATCACAATCGGTCCAGATGAACAGAATGGACGCATACTTGGCTTGCGCTTCAATGTTACTCGCTACAGCCTTTTTGTCCTGTGAACGCATCAGCCAGCTTCACGTAATCAGATCTATATTACTCACCTCTGCAATGCTCGACACTATGGGAGCCTCGAACAGTGCTGAGGGCTGACATGAGTGCCATTTCTTGAACCGATCATTGAAGTCTTGTGCGACGATATGCCCTGCAACGCATGTGAAGGTTACAGAACATTGCCCCCAGGATTGAAAGCGAAAGTCGAACTTGTAGTTCTTGACCCACTGAATACCTCGGACACTTTCCTATCTGGAGTCAGTCTTGCGTTCGATCGGCAGTCCAAAACCAGAAGGTGGTCGCGTCTTTGATGTCTAGCACTACCAGATAGCACGAAGACCTTTGCAGTGCATTTAGCCATCAGCGTGCTAATGAAGCACAAGTGTAAACTGTATGGGTACAGGATGGTATTGTATGAGACAATGCTGGCACCTACTGCTCGGGCTTGGCCACCCAGATGGTTTGCGACTGCCTTTGCAATCGATGGCTTTTCCGCTACGCACAACACCCGAGTCATGCCTCCGAAATGTCGTTGGAACCATAAAAGGGACTGAGACTGATCTTGGAAGGATGGCGATGGTCATGGTCATGTGAAAACGCGTCGAACCAGATTAGCGCGTGGTGTGGAGAGCCGCACGGGCGTCCCTGCAGCCCGCTAACGTGGAAGCCAGGGAAATTCATGAGGTCATTGTTCGCCGCAAACAACAAACGCTAATTCCAGCTTGTGAGTGAGGGAGCATCGCAACATCTTCACCATCAACAAACCTCATCGAGACGATGCCCGACCCACGGACATACATGGATATGGCGCTGCCCCTTGTCAAGACGCTGCCCGAGTGCGCCGACTACTTCAAGACGGTAGAGCCGTTCCTTCCCCAATACTACGACCTCCCGCACAAGGTCGCAGCACACATAACCGACCCACAGGCACTCAAGGCCCTCTACGTCAACACCAACCCGCTTATGACAGCGCTGGCTTTTGCCACCATGTTCGTCACCCCTATCGTGCTTGCCGTCTCGGAGATCAACCGCAACTACTCGCAAGTCGACCGGCTGTGGAGTCTGCTGCCCGCCATCTACAATGTCCACTACGCAGTTTGGGCCCATCTCAACGGACTGCCAACAATGAAGCTGGATCATGTCATGGCTGTCTCCATCATCTGGGGTGCTCGCTTGACCTTCAACTACTGGCGCAAGGGCGGATACCAAGTTGGCAGCGAAGACTACAGATGGAACATCGTCAAGGACTACGTTGGTGGACCTGGCATGTTCATCTTCAATGTCACCTTCATCTCGCTTGGGCAGAATGTCAGTACTCTCGTACCACGTGCATTGAGTGCAAACATACTAACTGTGATAGATTCTGCTCTGGCTCATCACCACGCCTACGTACATCCTCCTTCTCGCCAATCGTCTCAAGGGCAACGACATCACATCCTACGATTCCTTGTTTGGCCGTTCCATGGTCGCTATCGTTGTTCTTGAGTTCTTCTCCGATCAAGCGCAATGGAACTACCACAAAGCCAAGGGTGCATACCAGAAGACCGCCAAGGTACCATCTGACCTTAAATACACACGTGAGCAATTAGACCGCGGATTCAACACAACCGGTCTTTTTGCCTGGTCGCGCCACCCCAACTTCGCCGCTGAACAAGCCTTTTGGGTATGCTTGTACCAATGGTGCTGCTTGGAGACTGAGACCTACGCCAACTGGGCATTCGCAGGTGCATTCGGATACCTGATCCTGTTCCAGGCCAGCACTTGGCTCACCGAGCTGCTCAGCGCGGGCAAGTACCCTGAATACAAGGTCTACCAAGAACGTGTCGGCAAGTTTCTTCCCAAGTTCGGCACCAAGAGCATGGAGCTGCCGCAAACTGAAAAGGAGAAGCAGAAAGTCAAGGACGCAAAGGCCGGTAAGGGTGCTATGAAAACTAAGTGAGTTCATGTAGCAAAGACCTATGAAGGCGTTCCGAGACGTAAAGCTAGCTAGGGGAGGGTGTGGGCTGTGCGTCCAGTCGAGGCAAGCTGGCGATGTGAGCAGATCTGACGACAAAGATGCGGTTTCGACATGAGCATGTTCACATGACCAACATACATATTAATTTAATTAACTAGTATCATGAATTGAAGAAAGTAAGACAGCTACTCTGTCTCACCCCGAGAGAAGAATACTCACGCGCCTTGTTATTCTACATTCCTGACGACTATTTACAACATGTAGATAAAGAACACTATCAAAAGAGGAGAGTAAGACGTAGTAGGGAAATCCAGGAAGTATGCTTGTCTCCGACGCGCGCGCCTATACAGACCTCTTTGTAGTAGCATTACCACTACCAATAGTGCTGACATCCGGCGCACCAACAAGAGCCAAATTTTCAATACCAGCAACACCATATAATGCTGCCGCATTTGTGCTGACCCATGTAGCTTCATCAACAGGGATAAGTGCATCACTTCCATCGACCCTTACTCTCGCCCACGGAGCACCCGGCGCAAGGCCGTCCTTGCTACCATCGCCCAAGAATTCTGACCAAACTCTTGGAACGAGTGTCGCGTTGTTACGGTGGTTAGCTACATAGGCAGTGAAGCGGGAGTGACCCTGCATCAGGCTGAGATTGCCAAAGTCCTTGCCATACCGGGCCCTCTGCTCGGCTTTCCCAGCGCCGTAGTAATAGCAGTAGTCCAGGAATGCGTCGAAGAAGGGTTGGGTGACATTCTTCTGCTCCGCACCAAAGTGATCCATTAGTTGATCAATGGTTTCAAGAACGCCAAATACACCAGACAGATGCGAAACGGTAACGTTGCCGGTGTTGTTCGGGTCCGTAGGTGGCGGTGCCCAAGCTCCAGTAAGACTGTTGTAGAATGCCTCGCCGGTGGCAAATCCGTTCTTGAGCTTGGGGTATGTCACAATAGATTCGACAAGCTTTCTGCGCGATTCTTCCCAGCGTGGCCCACGACGCTCCCATTCAATAAGGTATGCTTGTGCAATACCAGCCCAATCAGTTCCGAAGTTGAGGAACAATGCTTCGGGGTCAGGGTTGTAGACAATACCAGGCTCCCGCACCTTGCGTCTCGCATCTACACGAAGGAAGGCTTTGTCGGCATCAATGACCTCGCGTACCAGGTCACCAGTCCGCTCATCACCACCAGAGATATAGTAAAAGGTCTTACGGTAGACTGGAGTTGAGATCCTAGCCTGTTTGGCGCTGTCCGACCAGTGCTGAACACCATGCCTCGTACCAAGCCCAGTGAAGTTTCCCAGATGATACGAGTCAACCTCACCTCCATGACGCACTTGGTCGTGGGCAATCTTGTAAGCATCTGCGCGGCCAGTGCGCAGGAAAAAGTCCCAAAAGAAAAGATCAGGTGACAGCTCTGAATTATCCCAGGCATAGCCACCGACATCGTACCTCCATTGATGGCGGTCGTCGTCATATGTATGCATGATATCCCCATGGTCCCAAAAACCGTACCAGCGGCGCTGCTCGATTTGGTCTTCGTAGAACTTGATGAGGAAATCCATGTTTGACTCAATAGTCTGCGCTTGGGTGGACTCAATGGCACCGGGCACATCCCAATACGACCCGATTGCTTTGGTATCCCGCATGTACTCTGGCTCGGCGATAAGAACAGGTGGGTTGTTGGTGAAGTTGGTGAGTGTTGCAAGATGTTCAGCGGATGGCGTGGTGTCAAACGCGTAGATATAAAGCTCGTTAGTCCGACCAAGGCCATAGGGAGTATCGTAGCCCCCTTCCCAGTCTTCGTAGGTGATGTCTAGAGCGTCTAGTTGTTTCTTGTAGGTATCTTGTCCAAGTCCATCATGGTATGGACGGATATCCATAGGTCCGGCCTGAGGGCTGTAAAGCCACAGGGTGATCGATCCTGTGTCGGTCGCGGCGTTGGATATGTCCAGACTAGTAGGATACTTCTTCCAGAAATCACGAAGGCCCACGGCAAGACCGCCAACCGTAGCTCCTCCTAGATAAGCCAGGCCGCCTGATCGTGTACCACCTGGGATCTTGACCCAGCTTTGGCCAGCCTTTGTGCGCTTCTTAAGATTGAAGCCATCAGGCGAGAGCTGTGTTAGGCGGTAGTCGCTCCATGTCGGGATCCACTGTAGACGAGTAGTCACTCTTTGGTCCCACGTAGAGTTGGGCGGTAGGACAGTACCATTGAATTGTCCAGATCGAATGTCAACACCTGGGTCTCGACGTAGACCGGTAACGCCCTTGACGGCTTCGTGAAGAATTCCGCCATCAACACCCGCAATTCGGATATGGCGATCGTAAAACTCCTCTTCGGCGAGGGGAACATCGAAGCGAATACCGATACCCGAAAGAAAGTCTTTATGCATATCTCCATCATAGATGATGGTGTGAATAACGCGAATCGCTTCAGAATTGGCGTAGAGGTAGAAGCGAACAGTGAAAGGAATCCAGTCATTGTGGGCACCATCTCCGTCAATAGTGTGAACACCATTGACTGTGACCAACGTACGAACGGTGTTATCCTCCGACACTGTGACATTGGATACCTTGCTGGTAAAGCTGAAGTATTCAATGCCGGTCGGCTTACCATCCTCGTCATCATCGGGTGTACCGTTTTGTGAGCGTAACACTAGATGACCGTTGCTTCCGACTGTCTTCCCACCAACCTCGATGGCAGATACCAGGACATTGCCTGACTTAGGAAATGTTGCTGCGACCTTGCCGGCGTTGACAACGATCTCCTCGCCAGAGTCGCTAACTTGGATGCCGTTGCTTTGACGCTTGAACTTCAAGGTTGAAGAATTGCCTGCACCTGAAGCTGTGACCGTGTACTCGTTGGCAGGAGAGTCGCTGGCCCCCAGAGCATGCCCGGTCCACTTCAACGTTCCATCTGGCCAGTAGGCTGTGACCCACGACTGAAGGTCCGCGCCGCCGGATACTGTGAAGGTTGTAGCGTTCGCAAGGTGCTGTCCACGAGGCCACGGTAAACCGAACGTTACGCCAGCGAGGTATTCTGGTGTATCATCGATCCATTTGACTTTGACGGAGTCGCTTTGAGCGGTCGCATAGCCGACAAGACCAACAAGGCCAATGAAGGCTCTCAGCATCTTGAGATGAAGCAAAGAGTGAAAGAAGTCGCAACCAGATGGAAGGCTTATTCTCCTGCCTGGTGGCTCGAGACGCAAGCATTTGTACTTACATTTTCGACCCAGATACCCGGTTACAGCTTGACTGCAACGGGCCTTGACCCATCCAATGTCCGGTCTACCATCACACTTACGGTATGATATCCGTCGGCTAGCCCGCACGCAAGAGTGTGTCCACCATACGTGATGTACATGGTCCTAAACGAGTTTGGTCCATGCTTGGCGAGCCTTGTAGGCTATAGGTGATAGTGTAGGCTCTGCGGAGGTGGGGTAGATCGACAGGGTTTCTAGGCAGGCGAAGACATCTCCGCAATTTAATCTCGGGATAAGAACGACCGAATCTATGGTATATAGACGCGATACGTGTGGAGGCGATGCTGTGAGCCAGAGAAAAAAAGGGGTAATGTCCTCGGATCGACTAAAAGTGACCACGAACAGGCTCAAGATGGTCAGCGGTTCGAGCAAAAAAGAAACCAAGACCATACAGCAGCGGGGGTTCGCCAGCGGTCAGCCACCGACTACTGATCAGTCAGTTACAAGCTTAAGTACTGCTGAGCAGGCGGGGCCGCTATTGATCTTGAGCCTATATTCGTATGTGGCAAGTTCAGTTAGAAGTCTGTATATGTTACCAGTGCAGACCCTAGCCAGAAAGGTCAAAACGCCAGGGGTGGCTGGTGCCCAGCTACTGTATCGCACGACGACGCGACAATCTTTAGTCCAAGCACAATGGTGAGAAGTTCGAAAATCGAAGTCCAAAATGAGAGGCTGTGGCGAACGGTGGAAGCTTCCCGCGGTCGAACGGGTGCGTGGCACACGCGAGCGCGTCACGATCTGCCAAGAGTGCTACGTTGAATCGCGCTACGCTGCTACTCGTCTTGGATTGCTGCATCTTCTAGGCATCGGCACAACAGACGGCGAAATATCTTCCTGGGATGTGAGCACCCGACAGCTCCGCGATGTTCATCAATCACATAGCAGCTCTTGACCTACGCCATGAACGGGATGCATTCCTGGCGCGTCCTACTGCCGTGCACTCATGCGTCGCCTTCAACCATGCCGAAAGTTTCGCAGACAGCAGGACTAACGGATTCCTAATCCAATGCGGCCTGGTTTCCAAGACTGCAATGGTAACCACACAAGAGTATGTGAATGGATTAACACACCTGATGAGAAATCTACCAACGATATGACTTTCCATGCGAAAGCCCGACATGGCGAAGAGAAGCGGCCGTACACGCGATGTGCCTTTTGCTACAACGAAGCGGAACTTAATCAAGCACTATTATGGATTGAGATGCAAACCTCCAAAGATTGGTACTTGCTGCCGGTACCACTACCATTACCTTCACTGGATACGCCATCATGGCGACCACCGCCTTGTCCATATCCGTCGTGTGTCTCTAGAGTTCTTTCAGGCTGGCTGAGAGGAGGTTGTACGAAAAGTATGTTGTGGTTTAGAGACAAGATAGGCTGGCGGTGAGGAGGGCATGAGAGAGGAAAGTTCTTGATAGGTCGCTGTAGGACTACGGTGAGGTAGCCATTAGATGCTATAAACTCACTGATTGATTGATTGTGGCTTAACGACCTATGTATAAGAACACGAGAAGTAAAAGTCTGTACAAACGAAGGTCAGTGAGAGTTGAACAAGACAAACAATTGGGTTCTGCATGAGGCATGTTTCGTTATGAGCGAGAACTGTATCAAGGAAGAGAAGACAATGTGGATGGGTAGAGAAGTAATAGCATATGAATTTAGAAAGATCCTATTCCTCTTATTTTCAACAAAACCGCCAACTGACACTACATGTTCCGTCTATTTTCCCTCCGATATCTCTCTAGTAAGTGACCTCTCCAAACTCCTCCTCAGAAAGGATCTCGTAAGTGTAGTCCTCGCTAAGCTCCATATCGCACTCTTCGTAGTCATCGTAGAGGGTAGCGTTGAAGAAGTTGCACATGTCCTGAACAATAGGGCGTGCCTTGCTAAGTTCCTCAAAAGAGCAGGTTCCCTTACCACCAAGGGCGGCGGGAAAAGCGCAGGGCTCAATGAGCTTTGATAACATTAGATAATATCCTGTCAACACAACAAAACGATCAAGTCTGAAGACTTACGGCAGAGTAGTGACTAT